CCCCCACCCACACACCATCATACCCAACAACGTACCACCCTAGCGACCAACAGCACCTACAGACCAGCCAAGACAGACTATGACAAGAAGCGAAGCAACTATGAAGGGTAGCGTGCAAGAAAGGGGGCGAGACGTCACAGCAGCACGTGATCACCAACCAGCGGGCGCCAAAGCCTCAGCGCCCAGAAGCAAGAGACCCTGCAGTACGACACGACGTAGGGAGGACAATGGCAGTGTGGGAGCTCTAGGGAACGGTGGTCAGGAGCAGAGACCACACACCTAGAGCCCCGCCCAATCAGAGATGGGAAACGATGGACAGGAGCTTGGTTCATTGCCCATACCCCGTTCGGGGCCTGTGGAAAGGTGGTCAGGAGCAGGGACCACACACCCAGGCCCAGACTCAGGGGGCAGCCTGCCCCACCGACGACTGGGCTCAGCGCGTTTCACCGAAGGGAGCTCAGTCGCCTCCGAGTGGCCATCCTGGCCGAAACGGCCCACGAAGATACCGACAGCCAACTCGATGACGTTCGAGCCCCAGCAGTACGACAAGGCCAGCAGTGAGGGAGCTCGAGGGAAAGGGGGTCAGGAGCAGGGACCGCACACCTCGAGCCCTACCCAAATGGAGTTGGGAAAAGGTGGGCAGGAAGGGCCCACACGCCCAAGCTCCGCTGGGGCCTGGGGAGAGGAGGTCGGGAGCAGGGACCACACGTCCAGGCCCAGACGAAGGGGGCAGCCCGCCCCATCAGCGGCTGGGCTCAGCGCGACGCGCCGAAGGGAGCCCGGCCGTCGCGGAGCGGCCAGCCTGGCCTGAATCGGGCCGCGCACGTACTGCTCGCGTCGGATATGCTTCGGCGCGGCCAACAGGCGCTCGCGCAGGCTTGCGCTGGGCTCGCTTCGGACCCGCTTGGAAAATCAAGTTCCGAGGCGCCTTCGGCCGAGGCGGCCCACGAAGAGGCCGACGACCAGGCCGATGGTCGCGGTGCCCGCGCAGACTGACGCCTGCGGGCGCGGGCGCGCGCGGCGCCCGATCACGGGCCCAGGCGGGCTCTTTGTTCAAACCCGGCCTCCTCTCCTCCTCCTCCTCCTCCTCTTCCTCCTCCTCCTCCTCCTCCTCCTCCTCCTCCTCCTCCTCCTCCTCCTCCTCTCTCCTCCTCCTCTCCTCCTCCTCCTCCTCCTCCTCCTCCTCCTCCTCCTCCTCCTCCTCCTCCTCCTCCTCCTCCTCTCCTCCTAAGCATTTTGGCTCATGCACATGCCGAGCTGGTGCTTGGTCGGCGCCCCTGCGCCCCGCCTTCCCGTCGCCCATGGTTGTCGCTGCCCGCATTGCGTACCTCAGGCAACTGCTTGCGGCTGGCTGTAAACTGGTCGTCACGTCGGCCACGCACGAGGTGACCCTCATCCAGAAGCTCACGGTGCACGTCTACCCTGGAGTTCGTGTGGACGCTGGCATGCAGATCTTCGCAGGTGTTGCTCTGGAGTGGATTGCTGCTGTTGACGTTTCGCACGCCATTGTGGACCGTGGCCACAAACACTCCGACGGCCACTCTCGAGTCGAGTTCCTGATTCGTGGAGCACGTCCTGATGCAGGCGGGCAGCCTCCTGGCGATGGAGGTCTTCCTTGTGACGCTCAGGACGGTGATGAAGATGCTGGGCATGGTGGACACTTTCGGCGTCCTCGGCGCGCTCGGTCTTCTGGCCCGTCAGGCGGTGCCGATGGCTCGGAGGACGGTGGCGGCTCACCTGGTGAAGAACCTGATGGCGCCAAGAAGCCGCGTATGCAGGCGTGGCTTCCTGATCCCTTGGGCTTCCCGATTATCCCACCGTTTACCTTCAATAGCAACGCTACAGAATTTTGTCCTGCTGGTGCTAAGGCTGCAGTCTTTCCCACTGAGCTTCGAGACGGGTCCCTTCCTGGTGTGCAGGTGGGTGCGGATCTCGCTTGTGAAGTGGTCACTCCTATTCTTCCCCCTGATGATATGGATTACGCATTGTTCGGTTACCCATCGGATGTTTCTCCTCTTCTTCCTGAGCCCGCTGCTCTTCCAGGTGTTGCAGCTCTACTCCCTGATGGCGATCATGGTTCTGTTCCGGGGGCACTGCCTTCTCATCCGTCCGCCGACCGCGATGGCGAGCCTCCTGTATCTGACAGTTGTACGAGCATGGACAGCATTCTTGCAAAGCTGGAGCGCCTTCAGGCGGCAATTGCGGCGAACGTTCCTCGTGCGCAGGAGGAGGCTGGCAGTCGTGGTCTTCCTGAAGGTATGCTTCGGGGCGCTGTGCTGCCTGAGGTTCCTCGTCCCGTTCGTCGTGAAGCACTCTTCCGTTATGGTGGAAATGACTACTGGCCTTACGATGAGCCGAGTATCGGAAGCCTTTGTGTGCAATATGGTTGGCCCCTGGACGTTTTCATCAACAAGTTTTGCATTGTTACAGAGGGTGTGTTCATCGGACGAATAGGTCGCATCTTTGCGGTAACAGAGACGGATGTCAAGCTCCAGATATATTGTGATGTGGTTCGCACGGCGGTTCCTGCTTATGATGCCCTCGAATGTCGTGATCCTTCGAGCACGAGGGCTTGGGAGGCCATGCTGCTGGAGAAGACTGTCAATGGCGAGCTCCCAGCTGGCCCTGCGAGTACTTCTTAGAAGCGTTCTCTGGAGTTGATTGTGGGCTAGGGAGGGAGTGGCTTCGGTGGTCTGGCCCTTTTACGGGTCGGCACGGCCAGGTGGGTGCCTCGTGTGGGCGCCCCTGGTGATGCTGCACACCTCTGCGTTCAGGACTCAGGGGAGGGTGCTTCGGTGGTCTGGCCCTTTTTGGGGCTAGCACGGCCAGGTGGGTGCCCTGTGGGGGTGCCCCTGGTGACGCCCCAGACCCTGGCGCACGGACGGACGGGGCTCGCTGCGGGCTCCGCGGGGAGGGGAGGCCCCCCCCCAAAAAAAAAACTCTCCTCCTCCTCCTCCTCTCCTCCCTCCTCTCTCCTCCCCCTCCTCCTCCTTCTCCTCCTCCTCCTGATGATGGTGATGATGATGATGCTGCCGAGGATGATGATGATGATGATGATGATGATGATGATGATGGTGATGATCATGCATATTATATTTTTATTGTTATGATGATGATGATGCTGATGATGACGATGACGATGATGATGATGATGATGATGCTGATTATGATGATGATGCTGATGATGATGATGATGATGAGATGATGATGATGATGATGATGATGATGATGATGATGATGATGATGATGATGATTGATGATGATGATGATGATGATGATGATGATGATGATGATGATGATGATGATGATGATGATGATGATGATGATGATGATGATGATGATGATGATGATGATGATGATGATGATGATGATGATGATGATGATGATGATGATGATGATGATGATGATGATGATGATGATGAGGAGGAGGAGGAGGAGGAGGAGGAGGAGGAGGAGGAAGAGGTCGATGTCCTCGTGGGTGATGGGGATGCGTGGAATTAACGGATTTGTTTTGCCAGTCGTTTTTCACTCAGAGAGCTGCATGCCGGGAGGGCCGCCTGTGGTGGGATCCGACCTGCACCCTTCCCCGCCCGGGCAGGTTGGGCTCACAACTCTTCCAGCAGCCGCGAGGGCTTCAGACAAGACTGGCTGGAAGCAGGAGGGAACCGCTCGTCGACGATGCTGATCTGCTGTTGGCCTGCCCGATTCGTTGTCCCTGTAACGACAAGCGTTTGCATTCGCCGGGCCTGTAGTGCTCCAGGATTCCCAAATGTGGTCCGAGCAGACGGGGTCGGATGATCGCACCGCATCGCCGATGCATCGGCGATGTGGCTCGATGTGGACTTAGATCTTCTCCGCGCCGACAGCACTGATGCATCTCCGACGTCGCCGGCGCATCGCCAATGCATCGGTGACGCAGCGTCGATGCGGCGTGATTCTCAGACCCCATCTGCAAAACCTCATCTGGAAAGCCTCGTAAGGGCAGGGCTTGCGATCGCACGAGGTGCCCCTGACCGCGCGGATGCGATCCGACCGCTCCCATCGCCGTCTCTGCAGGCTCGTGCCCAGTGCGCGCTGCCCTTCGTGCAATCGGAGAGTTTGGCGCTCTGCCCCGCGCGCGCGTCACGCCAGCGGTCGTTCTAGTCTCCAGTCCTCGGGGGCAACGTTTGGGGGGTGGGGGGGGAGTAGGCTCGGGAGGGGACGCCTCCGCCCCACATCGCCCGCTCCTCGCCGACAGGGGCCCGACGACCTGCCCAGACCAGGACCGTGCGGCTTCCCGCCATCGGGGGCCAGTCGCCGATCCATCCACGATACATCGCCGATGTCAGCCCCGAGTCGGTCGCCCCGCGACGTTCCCCCTCGCGCCTCCGCTGCCGCCGCCGCTGCTGCCCTGCCTGCCGACATTCGGCACGCCCCGGCACGTCTCGTGCCGCACAAGGGGGTTCCTCCCACGGCCTCGGTGGGGACGCGTTCACTTGCGGTCCGCGCTTCCATGTGGCACGCCCCTCGCACGTTTCGTGCCCCAAAGGGAACCGCAACGGCCTCGGCGGGGCAGTTCTGCGCGGTCCGCGCCCCAAGGTGGCATGCCCCTCACACGTTTCGTGCCCCATGTGGACTGCCACCCATAGTCTTGGTGGGCGCGTTCCTACGCGGTCGGTGCTTCTACAACCCACGCGCCACAAATAGCTACGACGGGTTGTGTGTCAGGAGGGGAAAAACACAGACACAATTAATCGTCGATTCCCAGAAAATAGGGGGAAATATGGGAAGTGTGGGGGGAGACAAAAGCCCAGAAACTTGGGAAAATATGGGGGATCTTTTTATTTGTGTGTATTTATTTGTGTGTCCTGGGGCCCCTTCAGTGTGGTTCGTCAGGCTTTCTTGCAGTTCTTTGGCCAGCTGGATTGGTGGTGCGGTGCGAGCGGTTTTATTTGACGCCCAGCACGTAGTGTAGAACGCTGGCTCCTCCGCAGGACATCCCCAGGGCATTGACGTCTCTGCAGAGGCTGGACTGGGCAGCTATCAGGACGGTGGGGAAGGACTATTTTGCGTTATTCTACGTTTTTTGTTCACATCGCTCTCTCTCCCTCTTTCTTTACCACCTCCCCTAATCCTCTTCTGTGTGAACAGTGTGCGTTCCTATCCTGATTCGTCTGTCCCGCTTGTGTTTGCCACCTTCTGTAGCTTCCCTGCTCCACGCGGCCCCACGGCACGTTCTTGCGCCGTCTGCTGGTGGCAGAGTGTCAACCAATCCTCAGGGTGAAAGCAGCACGCGAGGATGCCACCTCTCTCTCTATCTTTCCATCTCTCTCTCTCTCTCGCTCTACATCTCTCTCTCTCTCTTTCACTACTGCTTCTTTTGTTCCCCCATCTCCTTGTATTTCTCGATCCTTCGCGCGCTCTCTCTCTCTCTCTCTTTCTGTCTCCCTCTTCATGTCTCTCCCTCTCCCTCTCTTCCTTTCTCTCTCTCTCTCTCTCCCCCTCCCAGTCTTCCTCTCGTTCCCATCCCCTCACTCTCTTTCTCTCTCTGTCTCTCTTCTCCCTCTCTCTCTCTCTCTCTCTCCCTTTCTCTCTTCCCCCCCGATCTGTCCCTTCCATACCCTGCTCCCCAGTTCTCACCCTTTCATGCCCCTCTATTAGGCTCCAGATCTTTCTATCCCTCCCTCTCTCGTCCTCTCTCTGTTTATCAATCTCTATCTGCGGTCCCCTGCCTTTTTTTCGCTCTCTCTCTCTCGCTCTCTGGCTGAGTCTCTCTCTCCCTCTCTCGCTCCCTCTCTTCTCTCCCTCTCTCTCTGTAGTGTGCGCGCACCGCTGGGTCGCTCCGCCCACTTGCCCCCGATGACATCCTGAGCGAGACAGCAGTGGAACGCATATTCGTAGAAGGAAGTGGCTCATGCACACAGGTTTCGCAGCGTCCTGTCAGGCTCGCTTCCTCGCGTTCATCCCGCACACGGCGAGACGCGCTTTCGCTTGTCTTGGTCCACCAGGCTTACGCCATTCCGCCGACCCCCCGACAAAAGGATGTATGCGACTTCCGATTGCGTATGTGTGGCTTGCCGCTTCCCGTCGTGCTGCCCGCGTGTAGTTGTTGCCGATGTGCCCCCCTCTTCCTCCACGCCTGCTGCGGGGCTTCTTGGGGGCCTCCCGGAGGCCTCGGGAGCGCTCTCGTGGGAGCCTTGTCAGAGCCCCTGGAAGCCTTTTGGGCCCTCTGGGTGCTTCCAGGGGGCCTCTTGGGGTCGCGTTTGGCATTTTTGGGCCATCTTGTGGGCGATGGGCCCTCTTGGGGGGGCCTAGTGGTATTTTGGGGCCTCTTGGGGACATGCTTGGTATTGTGGGTCCATCTTGTGGGCGAGGGGCTCCGTGGCCCCTGCGAGCTCCTCCTCTTGGGCCCGTCTTGGGCTCCTCTCTCGAGGGCACATTTGACAGTCTTGGGGGCGTCTTGGGCCGTCTTGGGGCCTCTTGGGCTGTCCCTGGAAATTCCCTGCGGGTTGGGGGGGTTCGTCGTATTTCGTTGGCATCTGGATGAAATTCTGACTTTACGGTTCAAGCCCGCGTGGGACCATAAAAAAAATTAATCTCGCGCCAATTATCTACGTACCGCGCCCCGGACGTTGTGCTCGCTCCCTATCTCTCGCCGTGGAGCCGCGAGCCAAAAAAGTATCCGCACCAGGCAAGGTTGCACACTTGCTTGGGCACGCGCCACACCTGCCCCGGGAGGTACAGCCAACTCTGTGTACTTGGGTACTTGGGGATTAGCCCGTCCCTCGGTCCTGTTGGCGTACTTCAGGCGGCAGCACCACCATCAGTGCAGCACCCCTCCGGATTCCCTTGCTTCGCTGGCGATGCTCACCGCGCCAGTCTGGCCTTCTCCTCTCACCCCCCTGGCCTGACGCTGTGCCGCTGCCCACGGGCCCGGCTCGCGGTCGTCCTGGTTTCCCACATGCACTGTCTGGTGGACCTGCGGGTGTTGAGATCGCCACGGAGTTGTTCAGCCCTTCGCAGCAGCAGCAGCACCCCAGGCTAAAAACACTGTTGGAATCGCCACAAAGTGGTTCAGCCCTTCGCAGCAGCTGCAGCACCCCAGGCTCACCTACCAGCTTCCGGCAGGTTGCGTTGCACCACGTTCCGCGACAGCTCTGCCCCCGTGGCTAGCACACGTCGTCTAGGGCGGCTGGAGCCCGGCGCCCCATTGGCGACTCTCTCCTCGGGCCTCTCTCCTCGGGCCCCAGAATGACGGATTCGGTTGCTCAGGTACACGTCTTGTCACTGTGTGGGCCGTGCCTCATGGCAGGCATCGAATTCCTCGACATTTTGTCTAGTGCATGTGATCGTGCTTCCCAGGATGCCCCCCGCCGTCAGTCCCCCCACTGCCTCGCGGCTGTTTTGTGAGTGGGCCGGCCGGCTTGTGCGCTTCTTGTAGCTAATTAGGCTTGCCCGTTGGCCCGGACTCCCTGCCCGCCGCCTGCCTCTTCGCTGTCGGCCGCGACCGAAAAAAGTATCCGCACCAGCCCATCCGGAAACGATGCCCATGATAATTGACGGGGGGAGAGATGAAGAGACACGCATAGTAAAACAGCGAGGGAAGCTTGGGAGGCTCCGTGGCTATCTCGAGCCGTCTTGGAGCGGTCTTGGGGCCGCTTGGAGCATCTTGGGAGCCGTCTTGAGCCAGCTTGGGCTCTCTGACTATCTTGGAGGTCATCTTGGGCTCTCCGATGCCGCTCGGGGGCCTCTTGGGGGCCTCTCGGGGGCCTCTCGGAGGCCTTTTGATTCTAAAGTGAGCTGGGATGCAGGCGAGAGGTAACGAGCGTGTGTCGGCAGCCGTTTGTGCTCAAGCGGCCGGTCGCCCAGATCTGACTACACCTCACTGCGTGGTGTACCATGTGCCACTGAGACCAAAACATCCTTTGCTTGAGATGGTTCGTCGCTCCCGCGACGATCTCCTACTACAGGCACTATCGTTACTACAGTACAACAGGGCTGGAGCTGGGTTTCGCCTAAAGCGAAGCTGTTGGTTGGGCCTCCCAACCCATTTCAAACTTGGTAGCGGAGCTGGCCTATGGTGGTCAGTTCTAGCTCTACTCCTCACCATTCACGGCGCTATCTGGTGGACTACTGACAGGGTCGAACACCAGGGTGCAGTGGGTCTGCGCGGAGGAATGTACATAACTACGCACAACCGCAAGGACTTTTGCAGTGCTACCTCTGCCCTCGCGGAGGCCTCTTCCTCGAGTCCTGCATCCCTGCGCTACTACACTCGTGACTTCCACCCACCTACTCCACTTGGAAACCTCTTTGAATATACAATGCGTAGAAACATGTGATACGACATTGTGCCGCCTCCACCCCCGCGCATGCTTGCGACAATACACCACAAACCCCAGCCAACCACATCCGACTACGACGTACGAGGCCATGGGATTGGTATAAATATCTTTGGGCTCGTGTGGGTTGCTATCGGGTGTGCGGTGGGACACATGCGTGGCGGAGGCGACGCAAGAACGACCGGCCCCCACTGGGACCAGGCCGGTCAAGTACCTTTCCGTGAATTTGTTTGCGAGGTGCATGCTTGGATCAACGTGACCGCAGGCGCTATGACGCCCTCCCAGCAAGCTGCAGCACTGCAGCGAGGTTTGGGGGGCCTCGCAAGGACCATAGCCATGGGAGTTCTCCCAGCAGTTATCAATTTCGGCGCTTATATAGGTGGTCGCCGTACCGACGGCGTCATCTACATCATGTTCTTCTTAAGCGCGAAGTTCGCTAACCTAGAAGGCCAACTCATCTCTGGTACAGCTCTCATTGACTTCCGAATCCATGCGGGAGAACGGATCGACCAGACTCTGGCACGCTTCGAGATAGCCCGCTATGAAGCTGAAACGGCAGGCTTTAACATCCCCGATTGTCGAATTGTACAGTTATTCTGTTCAGAGCCTTAGGAATGGGGGCGTCGCGTGCACAGCAACTTCTACAGCCACTTAACCACCGCATGCCGATGGGGCCAGCAACAACTTGATTCTCTGCTTGAACGCATGAGATCATATGCCCACATTGCTGAGCGAACCCCTGGCAATATTTGCGGTATCTTCAGCCACGTTCACCGTGCCGAGACCTTTCGTGCTGAAGCTAACGCAGGGCAACCTGCTACCGACGTCTGGAACGACGATCCACAACCAACGGGGACCACCACACTATTAATTCAAACATGTGGTTCGGCCTCGGGGTTGCAAGACTCCTGGGCCAGGTTTCGGGGGCCGCTGGACACGGCGGCCCCTGCGCAAGCTTTTACTCTGGTAGGCTCAACGGGGCGACCCGCTGAGTCCGACTTCGACTCTGGAACGGGCGCCGACGCGTCCTCAGACGACGAGGCGATTGCCCTAGACTACTCCGACATGCCCGCGTATCTTACGGAAGAACAACAGGCGCAATCGCTATTCGTTGGATATCAGAAGCATAAGCGCAGGTGGGGGCGATTTATGAAGAAGCCAGTTCGCGAGGTACGACGTACTATCCGACGGGCACTCAGGGGGGAGGGTAAGGGTCGAGACAAGGGAACGGGCAAACGACGGTGACTGCATGGCAGAGGTATGTTAGCTTTCCTGGCATCCATTACTGGTCCGCAACACGAAGAGTTGTTCCTTGGTGCAGGTAGGAACCGTAGGCGCACTTCAGGAAAGGGCAAGGGGCGTCGGGGCAACCCGAAGGATGCTAACGGCAAAACTGTGTAATGTGATATATCTATATATATATATATATATATATATGTATATGCCATAGCGCACAACACCTTCGCCGCGAGTGCCCTCAGGGCGATGGGGGGGGGGGGGGGGGGGGGGGGCAGAGGTCCGTCGATGCATCCGGCCCAAACTGATCCGGACGTGCAGTATGTCGATGGGGAACATTTTTGGCCGACCCTGTCGACAGCTCAGTTGCAGTCGTTAACTTCATGGCTGCCAGATTTGAGTGCCGGTATGTCCCTCGAGCATTGCGCCGACGAGCTGTTCGAGGGGATATTCATTGGCCGCAATGAGGTCAGGCTGGCAGACTGGCTGGGGGCGCCCATCGCGGGGCAACCTGCCGACGTTGAATTCGTCGAGAATTTCCATGGGCCCGCCGAGGAAGATCGAGAAATAGCGACGACACCCGCGGATTCAGAAGCCACAATTCCTGCGACAGAAGAGGAAATGCACCTGATGCTTTATCCTCGGGTTTTTGGTATCCCGACAAACATGGAAGTGTATGATGATGACCGTTTGCGGGGGAACCCGCGAGATGCTGGCGATCTGTCAGGGCGCATCCAGTGGGAGCTCGGCCACGGCGAAGGATTTCAATGTGCATTCGTAGCCGCGGAGCGTTCCCTGAGCCGCCGGGGGCGGTCGGCAAGCCGTCGAGCCTGGAGGCGCGCGTGCCGCGCGGGCGATGATTGCGAAGAGTGGGGAGTTGACCCGCGTCTGCTGCGTCGCGGTCGGGTGCGCAGTTATTCGCGCGAACACCCTCGCGCGCGCTCCAGCGTGGCTCGCTCTAGCGGCCCACGGCGCCCTCGCCCTCCTGATGCGAGGGCCCCAGGGGCTCCACCAGGGAGGGGTGAATAGACCTGGCGCTCCACCGAGGAAGGGGCGCTTGCGGGGGCGTTCGCCTCAGAGGGGAGATCCTCCAGAAGAGTGCCCAGATGGCGAGACGCAGCGCCTTGTCAACTACGAGAGTGCTGGAGTGGCTCGCCGACGCATGCCTCCTGATGCGATGCGATGGCGCCAGGGCCGAGGTCGAGCCGAACGCCAGATCCGTCACTTGTACTCTCTTCGCAACGTTGAACGAGATGGCGAAGGCAAAGTCATTCGCTCAAGATGGACAGGGGCCATCAAAGCACAAGGGGCCCTTGTGCGCCGGGACGAGAAGAGGACCATCATCGAATAACGGAAAGCCTTGCCAGTTTTGTGTGTACCGACCACGGACTTGGCTGCCCCATGAGGCGTCCTTCAAGGAGCCCCAACTTCCGCGAGACACCATGGGTCTGGTCTCGTGGTGATGGTCGTGGTCATTTCACCGATCCGAACACAACTGCGCGCAGAGATCAGTTGACGCACTTGGATTACAAGGCAGCTAAAGCTCATGAAATAGCCCATGCCAAGGTTATGTGGGGGAATCTTGCACCTGCTCACTACCTGGAGGTATTCGTTCGCGAGTGGCACGCGGGGAAGCCTGCTTCGTCCAGACAAGAAGATGACGACCAGCCAGAAGATGATGAAGCTGAGGAATTGGCCGAAGCAGTGGATCCCACAGCAGAGGCTCCTCCAGGGTACGACGCCCGCTACTCCGGCACGAATCTCACTTCTGACGCGGGCGCCACTCGCGACCCTGACCCGCCGATCGAGCCTGGCGACAGGATTACAGATGATGTGAATCTCGAAAAGGATAAGATGATTATTTACTACGAACCAAGGGTCGGATGGATAAAAACTCCTATCATACAAAGGGTCGCATTTGACTTTTTCCGATTTGGCTTGCAAGAGAAAAGGCCAAGATCACTAACGTTGCGCTCAATGGGCCTGGGGATTCTGCGGACCTTAACCCCGACAGATGGCTTATAATTTTTGAGCCGTGGGCACCTGCAGGGGCAGCGCCAAAGGCGCCCCCTCCTAAGTCGAAGACTAAGTCGAAGAAAGATCCACCTTTCATTGTATCTCCATCTTCGAACTCCTCGAGCAATGCTAAGTCACTCGGACCTGATCAGATTGCGCCGCCGCCTAAACAGAAGAAAAGAACAAGCCGACGTAATCGCAGTCCTGGTAGCAGCAAGCATCGGCGATCTGCGGGGCAACCTGCTGAGCGACCTTTATCCAGAGGGCCAGCAGTGACCGCCGCAGCAGCTGCTTTTCAGGGCGCCAGCACTCCTACTCCAAAGGGGCCCGTGGCTCGTCGTGGCCTTGCGCCTGGCTGGGCCCGCGGGGCAGGCTGGGCGCCGACGCCGGAGGGATCGTCGAGGGGTGCTTCTTCATCGAGGCATGGTGCCAATCAGAGGTTATTGGAAACTACATCAAAGGCATCAGGGGCAGCTCCCACGGACGAGAAATTCGAGTTTTACGACGCCAGTGAGAAGAAACGCCAGGAGTTCGACGTTAGTGCCCTTCGAACTCGCAGGGGGTCCGCAGGCGCTGGTTCATCATCTGCAGGAGCTCGCGCATCAGCGGCACCTGCAGCAGCCCAGTCAGCAGGAAGGTCTGATGAGCCAGATTCGAGTTCTGCGGGGCAACCTGCTCTTACTCTCGAAATGCCTGTGGGATGCAGGCAGCGCTGGGGAAGTATGCGCGCGTCCAAGCGCATGAAGATCAACCCAGCGTATCATCCCCACATTGATGGCGGGCCTAATCGATACATCGTGGTGACGCGCAACATCGGAGATGCTGCCGTCATTGCCGATGAGGACGCTCGCGCACGTCAGCTTCGATGAGGAACGCCGATGCTCAGAGTGGCTCACTACAGCTACTCGTGACAAACCGTTTCATAATAACCATCTTTCTGACTGGTTTCTGGCAGCAGTACCGTCTTTCGACGAATTCTATGGATGGGTGGAGCTCTCGGAGCTTCTCAACAACTGGCCACCTGAGGGTAGCGAATTCTACCACAGCAAGCACCTGGAGACCGTCTGGCGATGCCTCGGCAACCAACATTGGGCATCTCAAGTATTGACTGTGCTGAACCTGATTGGCATGATTGACGACGCCGGTATGCAGAAGAACAGGCTCCAGGTCGAGAAGTGTAAGTTCGCTACCGAGACTCACGATGCGTATTTTCTGCGCCCATGTAATGGACATAGCTGTCCTGGGATAAAGTGCCCTGGGTCCTATATATATGTACATGAGGATAACTAATATGACAACTCCAGGCGCGCCTCGTTCTTGTACTCATGGTACCCAATGTGCTAATATCCCGAATATACTTCGCACAGGGCTGTCATGCCATGCTGATGACACCCCCAACAAAAGAGGCAGACAGTTGGTTCATGGTTGTCCATACTTACTTGGTAATAACAGGATTCAGTCTGGCCTGCGTGTCGATTTCAATGTATTGATATTGATTAGTTTGAAAAACTTACTTCGCGATCGTGTGGCTGTTTGGCGCTCAGCAACTGATTTTATTAAGATGGCAGGCAGGAGCGGCGTACTTCCGCCGACCCACATCGTCCAGCTCATAGGCATCCTGCCTAACTCAGATCAATGTAAGTACAGCCGCGTGGGACATGCGTGGGTCAATCCCTTGTATATGTGGGATAACGAGCGGAGAAATCTGCGTGATGTCACTCTTGGCGATTTACATGAAATTCCAAATTATGCATCATCGTTGAAGGATTGGTTCGTTCCAAAGACCCCCTACAATTTGAAGTTTCCCGAACCGACGCCCATACAGGAGGTCTAGTCCGCCAGGGTATTTATGCTGCAGGAGGGGTACCCGGCGGGGACACCTGCAGGGGGATCCTATGGACCATGGATTCAGGCCCAGAGTGCGGACGTGTCTGGTATGACGTCAAATGGAATTACTCCCAATGACGGGCAGGCAGCTGGGGCATCTTGGAGGCCGCGGGTGGTTCAGGAACGAAATAAGGACGTAAACGTACATGAACCCACGCTGGTTTCGAGAGTACGCATTGCCCGAATGTTCGTACCATGCGGCCAGTGTCGCGGATCGATGGGCCGCGTTCGTGTACACAGTTGGGCGCGTACGTCTTTTGTGGGCTCCCTACAGTGGTGGACTTCGGGGTCCCAGAGGCGTGCGTGGAAGAAATCGTGGGGGAGCTTCTGATCGAATCTCCGACCACTGGAGCCCATCGTTGACCCGCCCCAGGGGAGGGTCAATGAGTGGCTCCCCTGTTCGGCTTGAGTGTTGCAGGAGCCGTTGTCGGGCGACTCTACAGGATCGGTTCCCCCCCTCCCCCCTTCCACGAGATTTTGAATCCTAAGGGGGTGGGGAGAGGGGGAGGGGGGACAGCCAAATGTCCCGCGTACCTTTTCACCCCTGGCAAGCGGGGGTCAGCGGATTATGCTCACGCTTGCACGCGTTGCTCGCTCGTGCGTTGAAGGAGCGGTCTGGCGCCGAGAGCGTTCGGTCCCTGCTGCTGACCCGGTACGACGAGGCCCCGCCAGCCTCCTTTTGTGTGGACGCGTCCGTCTTCTGTTCTGTGTCGGTGGCATCCAAGAATGGGGTGATGATTTCGTTTCGTCGTCGAGGGCGGAGGGGGAGAGAGTTTTCGTTGGTTCCTGAGGGTTTTTCCGCCTTGGGATGCTTCCCAGCAGCTGCGCCCCGTCGAACGCGTTCCGGGGTGCCTGGGTCGTCCCGAGAGCCGCCAAAGGCTCGAGTTCGGACCTTGAATCCACCAGGCGTCGATAGGGGGTGAGGACTAGGAGGGGTGGTGGTTATGGCGGGGGCCATGATGCCTCGATCTCCCTGGATTTCATGCCCCCTTCTGATTATTTCAATGCGTCCCCTGGTCATACTCTCGTCCGCGCACATGCCTCTGGCCATAATAGACGAACCACCTTCTTGGACGCCCCCCTCTTGGACGCACCCGACTGTTGTGTGTTGATCTTTCTAGATAGATCGTTGGGTTTTCATGTATCTGTCGAGCCCATCTTTCTCCCGCCGCGTTCATCGGCAGATCTCTGCATCAATGCCGCTGCTCCGATGTTCTTCAGTTGTGGTGCATTTGTGTGTTTTCGGATGTGGGCAAGGGTTGATTCGGATCTGGCATTGTAGGACAAACGATGGGAGGACACATCTCGCGGATATGTCTTCGCGTTCCAGTAGTCGTTGCGTGGTGCGACATGCCTTCTTCCCACTCTTCATCCGCGCCCTCGCTTGTCCTGCCCATGCCTGTCGTGCCCATGTCTGCTCCCGATCCTCATCCTGTTCCTGGCCTCCCCAGCCTGATCCTCCCGATCCTCGAGGATCCCCTGGGGGGGGGGCACCGGGGAGGAGAAGAGGGAGGCCGTCGCTTCGAGGAGGAGGAGGAGGAGGAGGAGGAGGAGGAGGAGGAGGAGGAGGAGGAGGAGGAGGAGGAGGAGGGGGGGGGGCGGGAGGAGGAGGTCAACTCCTCCTGGAGATGGACAGGAGGAGGAGGGGGGGGAGGAGGAGAAGAGGGCCGACTGTTCCTGGAGATCTGGCCTCTGCTCCCGATCCTCACCCTGATCCTTCCTGCCCTCTGGCATGTCGGCACTCGCTTCTCCGACCCCCCTCCCCCCAAAGGGGGGGCAACGGCACCGCAGTCCCGCCAGCGCACCACCCCCAGCTGGGGAGATGGCCCCTCTCGTCGGGGGGCGGCAGAGAGGGGGGTGATGACTAGGGGGGGGGGGGGGATATCCTGGCGTGGGCCGTGATGTTTCCCCAGATTTCATGGCGCCTCTTCTTCTTTCGTTGCGTCCCTGGCCCCCCCCGCAGGGCCGCGCACGTGACGCCGGTCATGATTTGCCCCCCCCCCCCTCTTGGACACCCTCCTCTTGGCCGCTCCCGACCTCGAGACCCGAAGGGAGCAGCCTGTATCCCCATCCAGGGGGAAGCCTCGGCCAGTGGGGCCCAGGCCACGCCAGTGGTGATCCTGGCATCGCTCGGACGAGTGTTTTTTTTCTCGGCGAGGACCCTGGAGGAGCATCCTGGACCATGGAGCAAAAAAAACACGCACGAAACCGACAAATGCACAGGGAACGGACGTCCGAGCGATGGCAAGTGATGGGGATCGGTTGAGCGAGGCTCGGAGAACCTTCCCTCCCGGTAGCTCCTCTGCCGTCCCGAGAGGTGCTGGAGGGCACCTCGCCCGCGGGTGGAAAGATCGGCCTCAACGTGAACGGGTGCAGGATTTCCAGCCCCAGCGAAAGCACACCCCTTCCCCTTTCCCTCCCTCCCGTCTTTCCGTCCTCCCTCCCATCTCCTCCCTCCATCCCCGTCCTACCTCTCACCCTTCCTCCCGTGTCATCTCGTCACCCGTGGTTACCCCCTTCCCACTCTTGCTTCCCCCTTCCTCATTGCCCTTCCCCCATTTCACCTCCTCCTTTCTCCCCCACTCCACTCTCCCTACGCTTTCATTCTCCCCTGTGTGCTCCGTAATTCTTGACGCGTCGCGTATCCCCACCAGAAGGTTTGGCAACGATACCCATGGGGAGTTGTCTAGAGGAGAGCGTGGGCGAGCATGTAGAGAGAAGCGAGGCGGCCAACAGTTTTGAAATTGGAGGCCTCGGGTGCCTCTCGGAGCCATCTCGGGGCCGGTTTGGAGTCCCTTCGGGGCCCTATTGGGGCGGGTGCCATGCCACGTCGAGGAGCTGCACGCCGTGGAGTACAGGAGCTGTCTCTACTGGGCGGGGGGTGAAGGGGCGGGGAGTGTATAGTGGAGACCAATGCCAAGAAGCATCCTGCTTGCCTCCAGAGTGCCCTGGGTTTCTTGGGTTTCGACGGTTTTGCCGTGGGAAGCGCGACGTTCCCACGCCAACAGTCAATGGACGTCCTGAGGTCTCAGGGGGTGGGTTTCTTGTGGAAGGTCTCTTGTGGACCAGCCTCCGTTGTATGCGAAAGCATGTGGTCGCGTGTCTGCACATTCTGGGCCAGACTGGCGAAGCCGGGGTCTGGTGCTGTGTCTGATGCTCGAGCTCGGGAGCCACATCTGCACCGTGAACAGAACGCACGCGATCGTGGCCAATTGGAGCTGGAGTTCGCGAGTGGTCTGGGCGACGGCAGAATCCATGATTTTGTCACCGTTTTGGACGACGGGCCACGGTGGGACATACTTTTGTACCAGGGGGATCATTTGCAGATGAGACCGCCGAGAGGATTTTTGGAGTCTTGCCATTTATGTAGCTGCTCGCACGCACGGGCGGCAACTAAACGCAGCGACGGCGTCTTGATGCACAGGAGCTTTGTCACTCTTTGATCTGGTACGCAGTACTGTACGTGGGGTCCTTCTTTGTCTTATCTGGGCGTTTCGTTGGAGTGCGCATGAGAGTTTGTAACTTCACATCTCTGTCATACTCGTATGTCGGAACGTTTTCGACGCAGGGCTGTTGAATGTAGAGGTGGTGCTAGCTGGTGCTTTGAAGCAGAAACGTATTTCTCATTTTGGCAATACATGGGAGGTGAGACAGTCGAAAAGTGGAAGAGGACAACGCAAGAGTCAGAACGGGGAAGGGGGGTGGCGACCGTTTCCCAGTGGCGCGCTGGACAAGCAGCGTGGCCGGTGCCATATTGCTCTTGCGATCCACGGGATCAGCTGTTTACGGATAGTGCAAGAAGCGAGCGAGGCCGAGCTCGCTTTCTTGCACCGTGCACTGCGAGAACTAAGCGTTTGCAGGCGCGCTGCCAGTTCTTTGGGCGGCCCGCGGAGAAAAAAAGGCCAAAGCTTATCTGAGTCCGCGCAGGACGTCGCTATGCTGGACCTCCCACCGGTCCTCGGAACTGGGGACGGTTTCGCAGATCGCAGCCCCCAGGGAGAGCGAGGTCTCATCTGGAGTTACATGGGGCGCCGCTCCACTGGACCCCCGCCCCCGGCAGCCTCAACAAATGGCGACAGTTTCGGTGATCGTACCCCCCAGAGATGGCGAGGTCTAGTGCGAATCTGCCTGGGGTGCCCCTCCGCTGGACCCCTCCCAGCAGCCGTCAAACGTGGCGATAGTTTCGCAGGTCGCACCCCCCCAGGGATGGCGAGGTCCAGTTTGAATCTACCTGGGTCGTCACCCCGCTGGATCCCCTTGCAATCTTCAAAAGTGGAGACGGATGGTCTAGTGCGAATTTCTGCGTGGGGCGTCACTTCTCTGGGCCCCCCAGCAGCCGTCAGCACTGGCGACAGTTTCGCAGGTCTCAGCCCCCCAGGGACGGCGAGGTCTAATCTGAATTTTTGTGGGCCGTCACTCCGCTGGATTCCCCCCCCAGCAGCCTTCAAAAGGGGCGACAGTGCTGCAGATCGCAGCCCCCAGGGATGGCGAGGTCTAGTGCAAATCTGCCTGGGGCGCCCCTCCGCTGGATCCCCACCCAGCAACCTTTAAACGTGGCGAAAGTTTCGGTGATCGCACCCCCCCAGAGATGGCGAGGTTCAATCTGAATCTGCCGGGGGCGCCACCCCGCTGGATCCCCCAGCAAACTTCAATAGTGGCGACGGATGGCGAGGTCTAGTGTGAATTTGCGTGGCGCGTCACTTCTCTGCCCCCGGCGGCCGTCAATCCTGGCGACAGTTTCGCAGGTCGTATCCCCCCAGGGAAGGCGAGGTCTAGTGTGAATCTGCGTGGGGCATCAGTCCCTTGGACCCCCAACAGCCCTCAAAAGCGGCGACCGTTTCGGTGACCGCAAACCCACAGGGACGGCGAGGTCTAATCCAAGTCTTCGTGTGGCGTCACTCCGTTGGATACCCCCAGCAGCCCTCAAAACCAACGACAGTTTCGGTGATCGCACCCCCCCAGGGATGGCGAGGTCGAATCTGAATCCGCGTGGGGCGCCACCCTGTTGGCCCCCCCCCCAGCAGCCTTCAAAAGTGGCGACGGGTGGCAAGGTCTAGTGTGAATCTGCGTGGGGCGTCGCTTCTCTGGCCCCCCCAGCAGCCGCCAACACTGGCGACCGTTCCACAGATCGCAGCCCCCCAGGGACTGCGAGGTCTAATCCGGGTTTTCCTTGGGCGTCGCTTCGCTGGATCCCCCGCGACAGCCTTCAAGAGGGGCGACTGTTCTACAGATCGCAGCGCCCAGGGATGGCGAGGTCCAGTGTGAATCTGCGCGGGGCGTCCTTCCGCTGGGCCCCCGGCAGCCTTCAAAAGTGGCGACAGTTTCGGTGGTCGCACCCCCCCAGGGATGGCGAGGTCATGTAGGGCGGCGGGGTACGAAGCCAGGTCGCAGGCAACAGGAGGCAGGAGAGGAACAAAAAGGAGGAAGGAGGCGGGGCGGCGGGAGGCGCGGGCGGTGCTCGATTCAAAACGAGCATCCAACGCAGGAGGGTTGGACACTATTTTCAGACGCATGTTTTGTACAACCCCCGTGAACAACGACGTATGGACTTCGCGGAAGAGGCGAAGGCCGATTCTGTTTCGGCTGCTTTGGCGTGGGGAAGCTTGGAAGGAGGTCTGACCGCCTGTTTGCCTCCGCCGCGTCAGCTCTGGCAAAAGGCCACTCGACGGTGGAAGCCCGTCGTCGCCAAGTAGGAGCAAACGTCGCTGTACCACGGCTTGCACACGGACGGCCTCGCAAAAAGGACGCCGCAATTCGTTTGATGTGATTGTGGTCGTTGCACGGGCTGCCTGGTGAGGCGGCGAGACGGCCGCGGCGCGCCAGAGCAGGTGAACTCACGAAGTGGTTGAGTTTTTGCTTCGAGGCGCTAGGACAATTATCCAGAACGAAGAACATCCTTTTCAAAATGCCTGCGGAGGGCCTTCAGCGCAAGCAGGCGGCAACGGCATGATAGAAACATTCGCGAAGCAGCTTAGCATGGACAAGGGCTGCGCAACCTCCAGCAGGTCCACCACTGACATGTTGGCGCATAAAGGGTTAGTTCGATGGAAAACTAGGCTTGGGAAGAGGTGACAAATACTGTAGGCATCGCTGAAGCTTTGGTTCACTTTTCTGGGGTTCTGCACCGCGATGCACAAGTAGCGCAGGCGGAACGCAGGGCGAACTCCAGCACATTCCTTTGATTACGGCAACGGAAATTACGGCGGTTCTGGCTCGAATAAGCGGAGGAATGTTTGGCGTTGTTGACGGAATTATCGGTGAGATGCTTCGCGCAGGGCACGAGGATTCGATGAGTGTCACAGCGTAGTATTTCACAGGTGACTTGAGTACGGGCGCCCAGAATTCAGCGCCGCCAAGTTCAGGCTTGGTAACTTGATGCGGGGATTTGGAGCCAAAGAGTAAACAGTCCACAGGGTCCGTGCTGCTAGCGCTGACGCGGTTATATGATGAGCTTGGGGACCTTGCTGTTGAGTCTCTTTGTTTTGTTCGGGTCCCCTATCTCGCCCCATAGACTTCGGCTTCTGTTAGGGGTCGCGGCATGCACGACTCCGCAGCTGTATTTCTGTAGCGTGCAGCCTCTGTTTCGTTTCTACGTCATAAGCCCCCACCCGCACATGTACGGGTCAGGCGACGTACCCCGAGACCGGGCGGATCGCCGCAGGAATTTATAGCCACGACGGTTTCCTATTCGACCTGGAGCTGGGGCTGGACCTTGCGAGCTACGTCTACTGCAGCTTGGGCGCTGGTGCTACGCCTGGCAAGCCTACGACAGGACGACGCCCCAGAGGCGCACCTGGCAGAAACGCAGCTTCCTCGCGAACTTAACTTGAAGGAGGTCCAGCAGTCGCTGGCGTAGACAGTGTGGTTCGGTCCCCCACGGGACCCCACGCCAGCCACCTGGGTGTTGGAGCTGGAGCGGCACCACCTGCCTCTGTCGGCGCCGCACAGGGCAGCCCACAGCAAGCTACCTCCGAGCGAGTCTTGGACAGCCCGCAAGCGGCTGGGAGCAGCTGGGGGGCCAGCTCCTTGGGCTCGACCAAAACCCCTGAGCTCTTTCCGAGGTACGAACCTGCTGGCCACCACTCTCGTCATGATCCGCTAGCCCAGAGTCCTTCCGTACCCATGTGGCAAGCCTGGCCCCACGGGAAGCTGTCCTCGCCTTCTGCGGCCCAAGGAACGGGGCGCGCCTTCCCATCCGGGATCGGTTAGGCGCGAACGACGGGGTGCAGCCCACGGGCTTCCGAACGCTCCGCGGCCGGATTGAAGACATACTGCAGGCGGTCGGCCTCCTGGTTGCAGTATCCCATCACCACCCAGTCGCCAGGCAGGCAGGTTTCCCAACTACCTGGAAGGACACGGATCTATGCGCCAACCCGCTGCAGGCCGCGACCTGGGCGAACAGGATAAGAAAGGTGGCTGCGCCCACGCTTGGCGGCCATTGCCGCGGGGCTGCCTTGTCAGCAACCCCAGTGGCGACGCGTCCCTGGCGGACCGACTGCTTTCCCAGTTGGGCCCGCAATGCCCGAGCGCCCATCGGCGCCGCCACCCCCCGGCGCCGCGTCGATGAGGACAGGTTCGGCGGGCAGGCAGGACAGAGAGGGCGCGCGGCCAAGTGCGACGGGTGTCCCCTGGGAGAACAAGCAGCCCTGGTCTGGGAGGCAGGACGGGCCCCGCCCGGGATTTCCGCCTTCCGCTCCGGCCCGCCCCGGCGCGGCGCCAACGTCTCCGCCGGGGACCTGGCGCGCGGCCTTCCGTGTTTCGCTGACTGGGTGGGGGGGTGTCGGGCAAGGGCAGGTCCGCGGCGGTCGACGAACTGTTCGAGCGGGGTTGGAAGAGCTTCTTAGGGGCCAGGGCCGCCACCGCGGGTGCCGGCCCCCTGCGCTACGCCGCGACGCTGGTGCACTGGCGGCCTTCGTGCAAAGCCAGGACATCCCGCGGGCCGACGCAGCGCAGCTGCGTGGATGCAGATGCCCCGCGCTGGCTGGGGATCGCGGCGCCGCGATGCCGGTGCGAGCGGGTGCCGCCGCCGCCGTCGCGCAGGAGCCGGCGCGGGAAGTCGCCGGGTATCCAGTTGGGCCCAGCCGGCCAGCAACGCCGCCGATGGGCGCCCGCCGGCGAGGGGCGCCGGCCGGGGAGCGGGCCGACGAGCCCCAGCCCAGGTAACCCTGACCTTCCAGAGAGCTATTTTTAGCACTGGAGGCCTAAAAACCTAAAAAACGAGACGAAACAGCCTAAAACCAAGACGTAGAATAGCTCTGGGATAGGTTTTTAAGTCGCGTGCTATTTTTTAGCCCTCCTGGAAGGTCAGGGAAGTTGCGAAGTGCTGGTGGCGGACCCGGCGCGCGCCATGCACGAGGTGTTTCTGGTTCCCGACAGACCCAGGCCCCGAGGAGAGCGGGCGCAGGAGCAGAGGTGCCAGCCGCGGCCCGAGCTATCCCCCAGACTGGGGCCACGGTGCCCCGCCGGCCCCCCCGCCCGGCGATCGCCCAGAGCTCGGCGGCTGAACCTGGCGGGGGGCGGGCCGCTGTTGGCGGGGCGCTGGCGGGCTTCTGCTCGCAATCAGACCTCCTGTCTCGGGGGCGCGCGGGCCCCCCCCCCCCTGGTGGTCGCGGGGGGCCGCGCGTGAACCGAGAGCGACGCGAGCGAAACGCGTGCCGCGTGCAGGCGCGCGCTGCCCGATGAGCGGGGATATCGTTTCCTTCCAGACGCGGCCGAGGGGGTGGGCCTTGGGTCGGTCGAGTAGGCCCGGCCGCGTTGGCGGGCCCTGGCTGGCGGCGTGGGATTGGGCGAATGAGCAATGCCTCGCCTGGCCCTGCAAGGGGGTCAGGCCCTTCGGGGGCGCCGGGGGCGACGCGCGCAATCCCGCCCCGCGCTGGCGGCCGACCGCGCGCGGCCGAGCCCCCCGTCGCAGACGTGCCGCGCGAGGTTGAGACACGTGAAGACCTGCTCTATCGGGGCGAGGGGGGGCCAGCTGGACTGGCGGCCGGTCGCGCTGGAACCAGGGCCAGGGCCGCCAGTGGGGCCGCGCGACTTGGGCCGAGAGGGGCGCCGTGATCAGGGGCGCTCGGATCCTGGTGGGAGGGAATGGGCCCAGCGGCAGGGCGGGCTGCGTCGAATTCCCGGGGCCGAAATCCAGTTGGACCCCCAGTAATTAGTGTCGCCGAGACGGGGCCGAGACATGGGCTGAGGTGGTCAAGCGCTTTGAGGGAGCGCGTGATCCGCTTTTTGCGAAGGGATTGGGCAGGGCCCGCGATCGGCGGGGCGGGAGAGCCCATGGCAGAAACGCCGACGGCCCCAGCGGCTGCGACTGCTTAAGGCAGGCCTTCCTGGAAGAGCTGGCCATTGTGGAGCGCGACGTTTGCGCCTCCGGACGTGGATTGGGGCGCTGTCTGGCGACGGCAGCAGAGCGGGCGCGGGCCGGCGACCAGCGAGTGGCAGGGCGGCAAGAGGCGCAGCGAGCCGACCTGGCCCGCGGGAGACCAAACTCGGCTGCGAGGTTTCTGAAGCACGAAGGCCCGGGCGGACAGAACGCCGGGGCCTGCGGCGTCGTTCGCGCGCGGGCGTCCAACCTGGGCGCCCTGCGCCCGTGAGGCTCCCGCAGTGGCGAAGCGCGTGCCCTGGCCGGCGGCGGTGATTCCGCCTGCCTGCGCACCAGAGTGGAGCACTCGCCTATCCAGCTGTTTCGATGTTTCTGGGGTGCCTTCCGGACCGGGGGGCCGCCGCTCCCCTGGTTCCCGCCGGCATGCGCGCCCGTTCTACCTGGCTCTGCCCGCGGCGGCGGCTGCGCCCTGCGCGCGGGGGGGGGGCCGCCCGCCGCCTCTCCCGCCAGCGTGCGCGGTGCTCCCATCCGCGCCTTCGCGGCGCGCCCCGTGCCGTGGCGCCGGCGCGTCGCCCAACCCTGGCGGTGCGTGGTCGCGCCCGGGCGCTCTGCCTCTGGCCCTCCGCCCCTCGCCCTCGCCGAGCGAACGGCGCTGGGCCGCCCCCGCTGGCGCCGCCCCCGGCAGTGCGCGTGGGCGCCAGGGGCTCCGCCCCTGTCCGCAGCGCCTGCTGCGCACATGTGGGTCGAAACCGTTGCGGTCCGTCTCCCGCTTTGCCGCCCCGGCTGCTGCCCGCGCAGGGCCCCCCGTTCCCCCCTGGTTGGCCCCGCTGCGCAGCTCGACCTTTGCCGCCGCCCCAGGCCGTGATGTCGCGCGCCCACCTCGGGCGACCCGCCCTCTCCCGCGCGCCGCCCCCGCCCCGATGTCGCGCGCCGGCGCTGCAGTTCCCGCGCCGCCGGTGGATTTGCCCCTGTCGCAGTCTCGCTGCCCCGCCTCCGGGGCCACCGCCGCTGCGGGTCGCCCCCGCCTCGCCCGCGTCGCCACCTTGGGCGGCTGGCTGGCCCCCGCCCCTCGCTCTGAGGGGCCCGCCCGTGCGTCGCTTGCACTGGGCGTCGCGCAGCTCCTTGCCGCGATGCCGTGCGCCCGCTGTGGAGTGGCGTTTTTGTTTCTCTCCCGCTCCTGCCCCCGCCGCGCCCCGCCCCTGGCGCCCGTCGGCCGCCCCCTCCTCGGGGCCGCCGCGCCCTCCGCCGCCTGAGGGCCCCTGCGGCTGCCGCGGCGCCGGCCGACCTCTGGCCGCCGGCTCCGCGCCGCTGCCATTCGCTTCTCTTTCGCCGGCCACTTGGTTTTCAGCCGCCGCCGCCCCCGCCTTCAAAGGAAGAGAAGGAGGACGCGGAAAACGGGAAGGAAAATGAGAACGAGGAGGGGAAGGAGTGGAGGAGGAGGAGGAGGAGGTGGGGAAAAAACACTGGAAGGACGAGGGGAAGGAGGAGGAGGAGGAGGAGGAGGAGGAGAAGGAGGAGGAGGAGGAGGAGAAGGAGGAGGAGGAGGAGGAGGAGGAGGAGGAGGAGGAGGGGAAGGAGGGGAAGGATGGGAAGGTGTACGAGGAGGGATGAGGAGGAGGGGGAGGAGGAGGAGGAGGCTTGCTGGTTCACGCCCGCGCTATGGCTGGCGGCCCCTCCTCCTGGGCGCGCTGTGGCTGTGGCCCGCGGCCGCCGCCAGCTCGGGCCCTCTCGGCCTGGCCGAGCCCGCCCCCCCGCTGCAGCCCCGCTGCGCGAGTGCGCCCCGCGCTCCCTCCCCTTCCGCGGCCGCCCCCCCCCGCCCTGCGCGTGGGCTACTTGGCGATTCCGCGCCGCGGTGTCATTCGGACGCGCGCGCGGATTGTTCCCGCCGCGCTGCGACGGGGCATGTTATTGTTATTTAATCGCTTCGCTCATTCCGCCGGCCCTGGAGCCCTCTTTGGGGCCTCTTGGGGACCTCTTGGGAGTCTCTTGGGGCTCCTTGGCGGCGTCTTGGAGGGCCCCAGGGCCTCTTGGGGGGCTCTTGGGGGCCTCGGCCTGCGCGTGGGCTACTTAGCGATTCCGCGCCGGGGTGTTATTCGGACGCGCGTGCGGATTGTTTCCGCCGCGCTGCGACGGGGCATGTTATTTTTTTTCCTGCGGACGATTTTCTGGACTTCCACGTTGTGGGGCCTCTCCGTGGTGGGCGATTCGCGCGCAGCGCGGTTTCTCCCTTTTCTTGCTTCCTTTTGTTTCTCTTGGAGCAAAGTCTTCGGAGGCAGGCCGCCGTCCTAGTTCTACTCCCTTCCTTTCCCCTTCTGTCGCCTCCGTTCCCTTCTCCGTTCACCCTCCCTCCTTTCGCTTTCCCATCTTTCCCGCCGGTTTTCTGTTCTCTTCCCTTTCCGCTTTCTCCGTTTTCACCCATCGTTCGTTTCCGTCTTCTGAGTGGTTATCATTCGTTTTCTTTGCTCTCCTATGTTGTTACCGAGAGGATTGTTTCAGTCGCATACGTGGATGGGCTGGCATCGAAAAGGGCAAGGCAATCCAGTATAATCTTGTCGAGTTCGGTGCTTTGGCCCTTGGCCACGACCGAAACAGGAATAATCGGGGAGTAGATGTATCCATGCTGATGACGCTTTCGTCGAATTCCAGCCGCTGGCGTTTTGGTTCGACCCCCCATATGACGGCAGAAGCCGCGACATGACAAACCGTTGGCAGCTGTCAGCGTTGAACGTTCAATATGCTGCTGTGTGCTCGTAGACCCATCCAACTTGGCCTGGCAACCGCCGAAACTGAAACAACATTGGCATTCCACGACAGGCTCCCGTGGAAGTATCTCCGTTCTTGAACGTTGAAATGCAGCGACTCGGCGCCTCGCCATCAGTTTGGTATTGGTGCGCAGCGAGTTTCGTCAGGCTAATCTTGGCAGGGATTGTAGTCCGTCTTTGTGCGCGCTCTTCCCAGGATTACAGCGGTCAGCGACCCGAACCTCGGGTTCTTGGAGGAGGACCGCGCGGATGGATGGGAAGCGGCCCTGGGCCCGACAAGTTCTGGGAATTCGGGAGAAAAGGAGGAGGAAGAGGAGGAGGAGGAGGTTAGAGGAAGAGGAAGAGGAGGAGGAGGAGGAGGTTAGAGGAAGGACACGTGAGACGGAACTTTTTTGGTATAGTCAAACAGCTGGTCGAACAAACATGGCTTCCATGCGTATCTGTAGGGCCTGGTATGTGGACGCGCGGATACGGGATGGGTCAGGCGTCGTGCCCTCCCGTGGCCTCCCGTGGCCTCTAGTATGTTGACTGCCGGATGAGGAATCGGTGGGGCGTCGTTGCTTCCCTTGTCCGCCCGTGGCTTCCCATGGCCGGCAGCATTACTCACAAAATGTTGTTTGATGTTTGTTTTCGTTTCCGCACCATGGTTATCATGAGGTATGTGTATTTGCAGATTTTTTCATGCTTCTATCATGGCCAGTATCCGTACGATTCATTTTAGTAGTTGCATTTCCAGTCGTAATCACTGCGTCTTCGTATTCGTGTCATTGCCATCATCCTTATTGTTATATAATTCGTATTTGTGAATATGTGCAATCGGATCAGTCGTCGTATTGGTAGCAGTATACGTAGTCGCAGTAGTATTAGAATTTCGACGTAGTCGTGTAAGAACCAGTGTTGGTGTTTGTTCCATGCCCAGTCTTCTTCGCCGCAGTTGCATTCGAAGCATTCTTTGTTCCCAACCCTCCTTGGTTGGGTATTCGTTTTGAATAGAGCAGTGTGGTCGCGCCCCTCCTCCCTCCCTTCCTCCTTTTCCCCTCCCGCCTCTTCCTGTCTTGCCTGCGGGGGGCTGCGATCTGCGAAACTGTCGCCATTTTCGAGGCCTGCTGGGGGGCCCAGCACAGTGAGGGCCACGGGCAGATTCAAATTAGACCTCGCCATCCCTGGGGGGCTGCGATCTGCGAAACTGTCGCCATTTTCGAGGCCTGCTGGGGGCCCAGCACAGTGAGGGCCACGGGCAGATTCAAATTAGACCTCGCCATCCCTGGGGGGCTGCGATCTGCGAAACTGTCGCCATTTTCGAGGCCTGCTGGGGGGCCCAGCACAGTGAGGGCCACGGCGGATTCAAATTAGACCTCGCCATCCCTGGGGGGCTGCGATCTGCGAAACTGTCGCCATTTCGAGGCCTGCTGGGGGGCCCAGCACAGTGAGGGCCACGGGCAGATTCAAATTAGACCTCGCCATCCCTGGGGGGCTGCGATCTGCGAAACTGTCGCCATTTCGAGGCCTGCTGGGGGGCCCAGCACAGTGACACGTTCAAATTAGACCTCGCCGTCCCTGGTGGGCTGCGATCTGCGAAACTGAGAGGCCTGCTGGGGGGCCCAGCACAGTGAGGGCCACGGGGATTCAAATTAGACCTCGCCATCCCTGGGGGGCTGCGATCTGCGAAACTGTCGCCATTTTCGAGGCCTGCTGGGGGGCCCAGCACAGTGAGGGCCACGCGCGGATTCAAATTAGACCTCGCCATCCCTGGGGGGCTGCGATCTGTGAAACTGTCGCCATTTTCGAGGCCTGCTGGGGGGCCCAGCACAGTGAGGGCCACGGCGGATTCAAATTAGACCTCGCCATCCCTGGGGGGCTGCGATCTGCGAAACTGTCGCCATTTTCGAGGCCTGCTGGGGGGCCCAGCACAGTGAGGGCCACGCGCGGATTCAAATTAGACCTCGCCATCCCTGGGGG